ATATAATATTAGTTGGAACTAAGTTGGAGAAATAAATATGAAGGTCAATTAAATTATAAAACGTGAGGAAAAGCTCTCATTTTTAAACTTAATTGGCGCATTTTTAATTGAATTTATTTATTGGTCATTTATAAATTTCTGCTTTTTTTTCTAGTTATGTCAGTGTGGGTCCTCCATACTGCAGAACTTGGTAATTCAATGTCTGAATCAGGTGTGTTGGAGCAGGGGAAAAACATAAAACCTGTCGGGCTGCAGCCCTCGAGGGACCAGGATTGCCCACCCTTGCTTTAAATCATTTCAAGTCTCTAACACCGTTGGCCGATTGCTTTTGAGCTCCAGCGTTTAAACTTTTTTAAGAGCTCCGATTGTAAAGGAAAATAAATCAATACATACAAAATTTTAGTGTGGATTACAAACATTTAATCTTTTTGATATTGCCTTCCTGCTATGTAAGCAGACACAAAGCATTGTGGGAAATGAGAACCATGACCAAATGCAACAGTCAGCAGGATGTATACCTTCACAATAAGTGTGTTTATCTGGGAGGAGTGCTGTTTGATAGATCACATGTGTTGTAATTCATTGACAGCCATACCTTCCGCTGTTAATAATAATAATAATAATAATAATAATAATAATGACTGGTAGGTAACTAGTTATTATGGTATTGCATTTTAATTTTACAAGGTGCAAAACCGCTTATGAATTATAAAAATTAGAAAGACCACTAAAGCGCAAATGAAATATTTAGGTCCACAATTAGCAGATTTGCACTTTAGCGGGCTGGTGTCCACCACTGGTGTTCAGATATTTCATTTTCCCTTTTGTTTCTAAGACAAATCATTCATTGTTAGGACCTGGCATTTGACATCAGCGTAAAATGAAAACTGGACTCAGCGTTGAAAGTTTAAAGGTTGTCTCAGGCAACCATCAGCCCCTGGAGTTATTGTGTCTCAACATAAAGCATGCTGGGAAACAGCCTGAAACCTCACTGGTGATCCCCTCAGGCCCACACACCATGATCTACTTAAATCCTCTCAGGTGCATCCAGTGAAGCAGTCAACCAGTAACAGGACTGCTGTCCTGTCACTGGTTGGCCACTGAAGGTGCACAGGGGCATCACACTAATACTTAATGCTTTCTGTTTTGGATTTAGGGAAGTCAAACACTTCATTATTGAAAAATTACATTTTACATTGAAACTGTTGCACTATTAGGCTTATAGGAAATAAAAAAGACTAAATAAATGTGAATTATTAGACTTCATTTTGTAGTGATTGAGAAGATGTTTTATTCAGAAATGAATGTTTTGCAGATTTTAACTCAGGGTGATGAGCAGACTGTGTTCTGTAGAGAGTGTTCAAGGTTCGCTATCAGATATGTGAAGAATTTTACTGAGACAGATGAGTGAATTTGATGAAAATCAACACAATTCAAACAATGAAAGGGAGAAAAGAATGCAGGAATGAGAGCAACTCCAATCTGGGTGAGTAATCTCATCCCAGTGTTCGACTTTATGAAGTCCTTCTGCTTCTGCATCAGTCGGATTGGTTAAAAATGAACAACGCAGGTGAGCTGGGACCGATACAAACTGTTTACTTCAGAGTCTGTTAACACGGTGACTAACACTGAAGCTTCATTAAACGTTTTCTGCATGATCATGCAGAAGGAAATCATTTGATTTGTCAACATTTAGGCTTCCAAAATGAAACTGTGACCTTTTTAATTAAAAAAAAAGAATCTGTAATATTTTTCTCAAAACAAGAACAAATGCTTGAATCCAACATTTTTAAAACAAATACTGTCTTACTGTAGTAAAACACAAAAAATTCTAGTAAATACACATAACATTGTAAAATAGAGAAAGCCCACCAAGATAAATAATATCCCAGTTCTCATGTATAACCATGAACAGCTGCCCTGGAACAAAAATCCCCGTTAATAAGACAGAGCCTCCTGCTAATTACTGATTTCTCTGATGAGCTGTTCAACAAAACTCCTCCACTAACATCAAAAGAAGCTGCTAAACATTCACAGTTTGTTTCTTAATAGTTAAACATCTCATGCAGGCCTCATTTTACCTGTTTTTTCGAGTGTATTTAGTGGATGTGAGAGAATTTTGTCGAACATTATTAATTATAGCACAAATGTGATGTAATGTATTCCACCCTTTATATCACTGAAGTAGTCGTCCTAATCATAGAMTTTACTGGTGAATCAAAAGAAAAGAGCTAATTTAGGATGTGCATTAGGAGCTCCGGATGTCTTTGTTTACAGGACGTTAATCTGCTCCCAGCACACTTTGCATATTTCCACCGGCACTTGTCTGCATTGTGACAGATCGCTCTTGTCTCTCTGTTCTCTGTGCGTTCTGTGATAATGGAGAAGAATAGATGACTTTATCAGGACCACCACAAAGGAACCCAGCCCCCCACCCCCATGGCTGTGCTGCTCTATTTATGTATTAATTTATTTATTTTTGTCTTTGACAGGACCAACGATACGGGATTCCTCTCCTACAAAGATCACCTCCCGGTGAGCCAGATAGTGATCGGAGACACGAACAGGACGGGCTCGGAGGCACTCTACCACGTTGGTCCTCTGCGTTGTTATGGAGACAGTAGGTGATCACCTCYGTGCTGAAGCTGTTGTGCCAGATTGGGATGCAGATTGGGGGAGATTAGGCACTGTGTTCAAGACGTGTCTTTAGTYTTTGTCAGTGGATAGAGAGCGAGGGAAACGTCTTCTGAACATCTGCAGTTTACCTGTCTGCTCTAAAGCTGCCAAGCTGCAAAACCAAATGTTGAGTCTTTCAGCTAGCAGGAATCTGTTTCTTATAAATTTAAACTAAAAACCAAAGATAGATGTTTGAATACTAAACGCTGCACTCTAAAAACACCTTCTTAAAATTAAAACTAGCAAAAAAACTCTTTTGCATTTATTGTAAATTTCAGTTGTTATTTTTTTTTTTAATCAATAAGAAGGTGAGACTGTGTTCAGAAGGCTGCTGGTTCAACTCCCCAGACCGACAACAAAAATGTGGTTTGGCAACTCTTATTTGCCCCACTCTGGGCCACTGAGGAAGGCCTTTACACCCGCAGCTGCTCCCTGGACGCCTATGGCAGCGCACTGCTCCACATGTGTGTTCATGTGTGCAATGGGAAAAATGGAAAGAACTCATTTCAAAACTGAGGGACAATAAGATATATTATATG